TCTCTACTAAAAATACAAAAATTAGCCGGGCATGGTGGCAGGCACCTGTAATCCGAGCTACTCAGGAGGCTGAGGCAGGAGAATTGCTTGAACCCGGGAGGCAGAGGTTGCAGTGAGCCGAGATCGCGCCATTGCACTCCAACCTGGGGAACAAGAGCTAGACTTCATCTCAAGAAAAACAAAAACAAAAAACAAATAGGTTTATCTCCCTCCACTGACCTTTCCATTATAGTTATTTTATGTATTTCATCTATCAACATTGGTAAACCTATCAAACAATGTTATAAATTTTTTTTTTCAACAGTAATAAGGCACAGTAGCTCATGCCTGTATTTGCAGCACTTTGGGAGGCTGAGACAAGAGAATCGCTTGAGCTCAGGAGTTCGAGACCAGCTGGGCAACATAGCAAGGCCCCATCTCTACAACAAAAATAAAGAAAATTGGTGGAGTGTGGTGGTGCATGCCAGTAGTTCCAGTTACACAAGAGGCTGAGGTGGAAGGATCACTTGAACCCAAGAGTTCGAGGTGGAAGTGAGCTATGATCACACCACTACACTCCAGCCTGTCCAGCCTGGGTGACCGAGCAAGACCCTGTCGCCGGGCGCGGTGGCTCACACCTGTAATCCCAGCACTTTGGGAGGCCGAGGCGGGCGGATCACAAGGTCAGGAGATCGAGACCACGGTGAAACCCCATCTCTACTAAAAATACAAAAAATTAGCCGGGCGCGGTTGTGGGCGCCTGTAGTCCCAGCTACTCGGGAGGCTGAGGCAGGAGAATGGCGTGAACCCGGGAGGCGGAGCTTGCAGTGAGCCGAGATCGCGCCACTGCACTCCAGCCTGGGCGACAGAGCGAGACTCCGTCTCAAAAAAAAAAAAAAAAAAAAAAAAAAAAAAACCCTGTCAAAAAACAAAACAAACAAAAAGCACCAATAATAAATACTTTAAAGAACTTAAGAAGATTAGGGGATAAACGGTAAATATAGCCTTTTAAATTTATCCAGATAATTACTGTTTCTGTTGCTCTTAATTTCTAAAGATCTGGGTTTATCTCTGCCATTGTTTTAAACTAAATAACTTTGTTTAGCTTTTTTTTTTTTTCCCAGTAAGTCTGCTGGTGACAGATTCTCTTGGTTTTCCTTCATCTGATAATCTATTTTGCATCCTTCTTGAAGGATGTTTTCACTAGATATAGATTTCTGGGTTGACAATATTTTAGTGCTGTAAAGATGTTGTACTACTTTCTTCTGGCCTCCATGTCTTCTGTTGAGAAATCTGCGTTCAGATAGTCATTCTTTGTATGGAAGAAAACACAAGAATGTGTCCTTTTCTCTAGCTGCTTTCAAAATTTTTAAATTTGTCTTTGGTTTTCAGCAGTTTGGTTATATATGTTTATGTGTGATTTTCTTTGAGTTTAACCTATTTGAGATGTGCACAGTTTCACGAATCTATAAATTTATGTCTTTTACCAAATTTGGGGTGTTAGTGGCCATTATTTTCTCAACTATTTTTTCTCCACCAGTCTCTCTTCTCTTCTGGGAGTCCAGTGACATGGAATCTTAGGCCTTATGATACTGTTCCATAGGTCCCTGAGACTGTTAATTGTTTTCAACCTATTTTCTCTGTTTTTTCAGATAGAATAATTTCTATTGATCTATATTCAAGTTCACTGGCTCTTCCTTCTGTCACCCCCATTCTGCTATGAGCTTATCCAATCAATTTTTAATTTCAGATATTGTATTTTTCAGTTCTAAAATTTCCATTTGGTTCTTTTTTAATAATTTCTATATCTCTGCTGAGAACAACTATTGCAATCCATTTCAAGTTATAACAGCCACTTTAAAATCTTTTATAATTCCAACATCTAAGTCATCTTAGAGTTGGCATCTGTTGATTGTATCTTTCCTTGAGGATTGGTCACATTTTTATGGGTTGTCACCCCACCACCCCATCTTTAGTTTTGCTTTCTCTGGTTTCAGTTATTTGCACTCAATAACAGTTGAAAATATTAAATGGAAAATTCCAGAAATAATTCATAAGTTTTAAATTGCACACCATTCTGAATAGTGTGATTAAATATCACAGTGACCCATTCTCTCCTGCCTGGGATGTAAATCATCACTTTGTCTGGTGTATCTCAGTTGTGTATGCTACCTACCCATTAGTCATTTAGTAACCATCTTGGTTATCAGATCAACTGTTGCAATATCACAGTGTTTGTGTTCAAGTAACTCTTATTTTACTTAACATTGGCCCCAAAGTGCAAAGTAGTGATGCTGGCATTTGTTATAATTGTTCTGTTTTATTACTAGCTATTGTTGTTAATCTCTTATTGTAACTAATGTATAAATTAAGCTTTATAATAGGTATGTATGTATAGAACAAAACATAATATGTGAAAGGTTTGGTACTATCTGCAGTTTCAGGTGTCCAGTAGGGATCTTGGAGCTTATCCCCCGTAGATAAGGGGAGACTACCATATTCGTATGTTGAGTAATTTCGGATTGTGTCCTGGACATTGTGAATGTTATATTGTATAGACTCTGGGTCCTGCTATAATCCTCTATAGAACGTTGATTGTGTTGTTATTGCTGTTCCAGGAGGCAATGAACCAACTTAAGTTCAGATTCTAAGCTCTGTCTCACTTTCTGTGGGTGGTGGTTCTAATCTTAGTGAAAAACCACCAGAAAAGAGAAAAAATGGGAAAATCGTCCTATGGAGATGACTTCTCTAAATTTTAAATCACCTGTATCATTTGCCTTCTTTTGTCTAACTTTCACAGAGTTGTTATTTAATTGTGTTTTGTATTTTTGTCCAGTGTTTTCAGGTATATTCAGTAGGAGAGGTAGGCTATAATGGATTTACTCCATGTTGGCCAGAATTTGAACCTCCTGCTCAGTTTCTTTTGATTTGCTGGAGTTTAAAAAAGCTAGGAGAAATGAATCTCCAAAGCACAGTGAAGACAGTGATAGTGGCATTAAGAAAACAGCAAATATCTCTCTCTTGTTTGGAATCCTGTTCAGAGGTCAAGGCATTCCTTCTAAATTGTGGTAACCAAGCCGACATTACTACTTCTACTTTTTGGATGAGAACACTCAGGAAGAGCTTGCCATTTGCCTGTTTGATCTCAGATCAAATTCCTTGACCTTCTGTTGCTCTGTATTGTCAGGCCCTGACCATCGCAAACTACATTTTCAAATTTCTTGAAAATAAGCTTTTAATTAGATTCTGCCAGTGGGAGGCACTGGCTTGAATTTGGAGGGCAGGAGAAGAGAAGAAGCCAGAGCATGTCTACAGTCTCTGCTTTGGGCAGCATTCCCAGCAAGGGCAGTGTTTCCTCTGTGCTTCTGGCTTTCATAGATACCCTCTTCCTCCATGTTCCTGCTAGGCTGCTCTGGTTCCTCAGCTCCTCTCCTTGTCCCTCCACACTAGGGGTAGTAACGGTCTCCTATTGTGCCACATCTTTGGGTGGTCTCAAACCCCATTTGCACTTTCATCTCATCCAACATTTAATAAACATTTCCCCAATTAAATTGCTTTCTTTTTTTTTTTTTTAATCTTAAAAAATTTGAGATGAAGTCTCACTATGTTGTCCAGGCTGGTCCTGGGCTCAAGCAAGCCTCCCAAAGAGTGAGTCACTGCACCTAGCTTTTTTTTTTTTTTTTAAGTGACAATTTGTCGCTCTGCCACCCAGGCTGGAGTGCAGTGGTATGATCATAGTTCACTGCAGCCTTGAACTTCTGGGTTCAAGGGATCCTCCTGCCTTGGCCTCCCAAGTAGTTGGGACTACAAGCATACACTACTACTCTTGGCTTTTCTTTTCTTTTTTTTTTTTTTTTTTTTTTTTTGAGAGATGAGGGGTCTCCCTATGTTGTCCTAGCTGGTTTTGAACTCCTGGCCTCAAGAGATTCTCCTGCCTTAGCCTCCCAAAGTGCTGGGATTACAGGCATGAGTGACTGCATCTGGCCCAATTAAATTCTTGCTACAGGGATAGACTGCTTATCTGGACTCAGACTGACACAGTCCATATGGGAGGGCAGCTGAACAAAAGCTGTAGCTCATGTCTCCTGATTCAAGTGTCAATGTCTTCCCACTGCCCTACTCTTGACAGGAAGGGAACATCAGAGGAAACAGGCTCCCTTCTGGCCAACTAGGAGGGCAATGCTCTGATCTACATTGCACAGTATTTTACAGGAATGTTAAAAAATATGTTGTTCACCAGGAGTTCAAGACCAGCCTGGCCAACATGGGAAAATCCTGTCTCCACAAAAAATACAAAAATTAGATGGACGTGTTGGTACACACTTGTAATCCCAGTTACTAGGGAGGCTGAGACATGAGAATCTCTTAAACCCAAGAGGCAGAAATGTGTGTGTGTGTGTGTGTGTGTGTGTGTGTGTGTGTGTATGAAATATATAAATATATTTCATATATTTTCTAGGAAAGTCATCTTATATGCATGGGCGTCTTCCTTTCGTGTTAATACAGTACATTATCTATTGGAACATCAACCCTTCCTCACTGATATCCTTACTCCTCCCATATGTTCTGTTAGACCAGGTGGCAGGTAAGTCTTAGAAAACTGAAGTGACTTCAGGAAGACCCAGCAGAGCAGGAGATAAGTGAACAAGAACCAGGGCTGTGGCTGGGGCGAGGACTCCCGCTGATGTGGTCAGTGTGGTGCCAAAGATAGAAGATAGGATGGCTTCACCCCCAGAGCAAACCATGGGTCATGAAATCCTGTGGTATCTGGGAGGGATGAGAGGTTTGCCAGCTTCCCAAGGCCATAAGGCTGAAAAGTGACAGAAGAGGGACAGAGAAAAGTTCTTGGCAGTCTCCCCAAGTTGGTACAAGGACCAAGCTGGAGCTGGGGCCACAGACAAGGGAAGAGAGCTCCTCACCCAGTCATGAGAGCCATCTGCCAGTCCAGGACAGCAGGGCAGCATTTCTTGGTCTTTGACCTGCCATGGGCTTATGAGACAAAAATGAAAGCGCAGCCAGCATCCTCTGCCACAAAAGACCTTTAATGGCTTCCTATTTATTATTCTTTTGTTCATTTGTTAGAGTTGAATAAACTATAATAATTTGTCTGACATAAGAATGCCACAGGTATAACAGATAAACCTGGCAGGTGGTCCAGGAATGAGAGTGTCACAAAATAATCACTCAACACAAGGGCCACAGAGCTGCAGATTCTTCCCAGCCATCCCTCACTCCTGCCCCAGGACACAATCCATGCAGGCCCCCATTCCATAGGAAGAGGCAGGTCCCATAGCGTCTGTGGCTAGACCTTAACACGGAGCAGAGATGCCCGGGAAGACGGCACTTCCTATGCTCGTTCCCAAGTGCTCTCCTCATCTGCCATGCAGGTCAGGACCACACCCCGAGTTTGTGAGGCACCCACTTCTTATACCCACCACCTCATATGACCACCTATCATACCCAACTCTCCTATGACCCTTGCAATTGTCCCAGTGAGGTGGGAAGAGCCTGGCACTAGCCTCATTTTACACACAGGGAAACTAAGGACACACTCGGACCTAATGTAATACACCCATGTCATGCGCTTGCTGTGCCCTGAGCTTCACATTTTCACCTAGAATTCCTTGTGGGGTGGGAGTGGGGGGCAGGGCAGGCAGGACTTTGTACCACGGGCTGATCCATGTCTCACTAAAGTGTACAGGATTCCTGGGGGAATCCTGCCCTCAAAGGAGGGATTTTGTCATAAAATCCTCCCTGAGTCTGTCTTTTATGTGAGCCAAGATTTCCATCCATCTGGCTCTGTGTAAAGATGAATTTAACCCTAGGCTCTCTCTCCATCACACTGCTTCTCCTGCTGTCCCTTGGGCCTGGGCCAGGAAAGTGGGGTGTCAGGCAGGGGTGCAGACACAAGTCCTAGGTGGGGGATTGAGCCTCTTTCCTTGCTGCAGAGCTCCCCATGCCTCATGGGCCAATATCAGGGTCAAGACCCATCCCCACTGAGCACCAGGTCCCTGTTCAAATCAAATCTTGGCCAGAGCTTCAGGGTGGGTTGGCTAGAAAAAACATCAACTATGTACGTGTGTGTGTGTGTGTCAGGTTCCAACACAAAGACACTTTGTACTGGAATGCTGGAGCCATTCCAACATGAGCAGCAAGAATAGAACCTGTGCTGGCTGGTCTAAGATCAAACCTGGAGATGGTGGTTTGAAGTTTTTCTTCAAAGAAAGCTTGAAAATGAAATCTCAGTAGGCAAGACAAATAAAAGCAGAGTTGTTCTGGTGGAGGTGGAAATGGGAGGAGGGCTGGAAACCTATCCTTTACCTCCACTCCCATCTTCCCACCTTAGCATCCCCTGACAAAGCTCTGTGGAATACCAGGGGTTCCGCAGCACCTGGTTTGAAAACCACTGTATCGGCCGGGCACGGTGGCTCAAGCCTGTAATCCCAGCACTTTGGGAGGCCGAGACGGGCGGATCACGAGGTCAGGAGATCGAGACCATCCTGGCTAACACGGTGAAACCCCGTCTCTACTAAAAAATACAAAAAACTAGCCGGGCGAGGTGGCGGGCGCCTGTAGTCCCAGCTACTCAGGAGGCTGAGACAGGAGAATGGCCCGAACCCGGGAGGCGGAGCTTGCAGTGAGCTGAGATCGGGCCACTGCACTCCAGCCTGGGCGACAGAGGGAGACTCCGTCTCAAAAAAAAAAAAAAAAAAAAAGAAAACCACTGTATCAGTGTCTACAAACCATGGGCCCCACAGACCTGTGCTTTGACTTCCCTTTTGGGGTGACGAGTTGGGAGTGTGATGGGGGGAGGATGTTTCCCCTTCAACAGGGCCTCTCTTTGAAGCCGCTGTGCAGTGACCCTCTGGGGAAGTGGTAGAGGCGGGGATCCTGCAACTTTAGTCCAGAAGGGATGGCAGAAGTGATGGAGCTGCCTGGGCCAGGAAGACACACCAGGCCCAATGCAGGCCGTAAGGCCATATAGATGAGGGTTCAGGAGTCTGTTTTGGTCCTTTTGAGTTTAAAAAATATACGTATCAGAACAGGCATAGGCCTATGTCCATGAGACCCTTTAAGAGTGTAAGACTGGGACCTAAACCCTTCCTCCTGGATGGATGGAGAACAACCAGTCCCCAGTGACTGGCAGGAGAGAAGCTGCCGCTCTGGACTGCTGACGCCACTGGGGGAATGCATCCGCTGTGGCTCAGCTCTCAGGGCAAAAGGCTTAGGTTTTCCCTGGGCCTGAAACCCTCCCAATGTCACTGAGAAGCCGTGGTAGCTCCAGCTGATCCCACAAGAGGCCTTACACTTTCAAGGGAAGGAACAGGCAATTTCTATTTCTCCTTGCCCTTAGATTTTCTGCAGATGGGTGATTTCAGCTCCCTGAGCCTGGGGGCTGGTGGCTCTCTTTAACCTGGGGTCAGAGCTAAGGCCCCTTGGCCTCTGTGGGGTTCTGACAGATGGGAGATGTGACTCCAGACCTACGAGGGTCCGAGATGTCCGCCTCCACCACTCACTGACAATATCCATGTCTTCCCTCTGTGTCCTGGTTGATGGGACCACTATTTTTGGGCATGATATTCCTGAATCGTGTCTAAATTTCCTGCTCAGCTAGGTCATCAAAGCCAAATTAGCTGTGTCTCATTCTGGTTGACATCTACCTAAGTGAGAAGCAGGGCAAGTGATGAAGACTGGTGGGGAGGGCTTCTCCCGCAGCAAACTTCCTGTGTGACCTTGGGCCATCCCTGCAGTGGCAGGGCCACACCCATGCAGCCATGTTCAACTTAGAGCCCTGACTGCTGACTTTCGTCTCATCTGGGCCTCATAACAATTCCTGCGTCAGGAAGGGAAGGGATTATAATCCCATTTTACAGTTAGGGAAACTGAGCCCCAGAGGTTGAGTAGCTTGCCCAAGTCCCCCAGGTGATTGGTGACAGCCAGGACTGAGAGGTGGCATTGGGGACTTCCAGGACAGAATTCCTTTTACTGCACCACGTAGGAACCAGCTTGTCAGGAACTCTCCCACAAAACCAGCAGCCAGGTGAACCCACTCTAGCAGGGCTGAGCTTTGACGCTGAGGTGCAGCCAAATAACTCAGTCCTCATTTTCGTGGGGACTGAACTCTTCCCCTGGGTGGAATGCTGAGGAGGGCCAGCTGGCCCTCTGCTCAGTGGGTTTTCACCAGGCCATGCTCTTCCTTCCTGTCAAGACTGGTGTCCACACGCCACCCACAGGGTGCACTACAAAGTCCCGGTGATGGATGGCTTGGCCAGCGCAGGCCCCAAATGCTTGGTATAGAAACCGCCAGTACTGTGGGCTGGTGCCTGGGGCCTAGTGAGGCTCCGCCACCTCTAGTTTCACTTCAAGGTCTCACCTGGACAGACTGACTCCAGAAGGGAAAGGGGCCCTGCAGAGAAGCACTCACTTGGCCATGTTTGGGGGCTGGGAGGTGGTGCCTGGAGTTGACCAGAAGCTTGGAAACATGACCTGGTGCTTCCTCTCCAGGAAGAAGCTGAAGGAAACACTTTGGTCTGTGTGTCCCTCGAGGCTGCAGCACATGGCTGTGTAGCAGGGCACCTGGCCAAGGGGAAAGGGGTGCCAAAATCCAACCTGTGTGTCACTCACAAAGCTACGCATTCTAGTGTGGGTCTGAATCACCTGGAAAGGGCACTGTCTTCTAACTCACATCAAGGTACGATAGGGACCAGCAGCCACCAGGAGCCCTGAAGGCAATTGCCCTCTATTACCTCCCCCTACAACGTTCCCCTGACTATGGGCTTCCTGAGGATGGGGGCTGGGACTGACTCATCTCTGTCTCCCGTACTTGGCATAGAGCTGAGTCATCAGCAAAGGATGGTAGGCTGAATTCAACTACGTTTGGCCATTGCCTTGTACAGTCCTGGCTCAAGGAGAAAAATAAAAAAAAAGATAGTACTCTGATCCTTCCCTGCAGCTGGAGAAATTTGCTAAACAACACTGGGCTAAACCCAAAAGGGTGAGTGTGACGTTGAGGCGGAGGCTCGGGAAACCAGCCTGACAAACCTTTTCCATGCATGCGTTAGGGATAGGGGAAGAGGTTTGCAGGAAAGAGGTCATTCCAAACACTAAAGGGTCTTGTGTCAGCCCCAAATGTTTCAGAAGACACTGGGGGGGAGGGGTGTATGTTTGCCATGCACTGCTCCAGCATTTCATCAGCTCTGTGCCTGCCCAGATGAGGTGCAGCCTGCCCAGCAAGCTCTAGGAGGGGCTGGATGCCTGGGAGACCGGGCAGTACGACTGCCCCAGCTGACTTGGTTCTGGTCTGGGGAGGGGCCCCTTAGGTTGAGTGGTCATGAGCCTCAGAAGTCGCACTGCCAGGCTTGTGAAACAGGTGATTTCACCGTGGGAAATAAGTCGCACTGCCTGCCCAGGAGGTGCTGGACTGGAAAGGACTGAGATGCCACTTGCATAAGATTTTTTTGTCTCCCTTTTCAGACAAGTATGGGACAGAGATGGAAGGGAGCAGAAACTGAGGAGAGAGCCCTTGTCCTGCTAATCAATGTATTTGTTTGGGTAAACCTCAGGGTGTCTGCATCCACAGGGGGCAGTGAGGTGCTGCAGGCCCTATCACAAGCCCCTCAGCCAAGCCTCAGCAAAGACATGCTCTGCTCCTCCTTGGGCAACTCAGGCTAGCTATGGCCACAGCCTGACATCAATCCCTTCCCAGTCCTGGGCAGGGGGTGGAGTTGAGGGGAGTTGGTGCTCCATAGGGCCCTGCCACCTCTGAGGTCCAATAAATCCACTCTGGAGACAGAGAGACCAGGCAGCAGCTCTGGATCCACCCACCAGACCAGGAGTGCTAATATTCCCAAATTCTTGGTGGCCAGAGCTAGGAAGGCCCATTGTGATCATCTGGTCAAACTCCTTGCTTTCCCAAGTGAGAAACTGAGGCGCAGAGTGGGGAAGGAACTTGCCCAAAGTCACACAGTAAGTTATTCTCAAAGGCCAGGCAAAGAGGATAACTCCTAACACTTTCTACCTCATCTCCCATCTGGCTTCTTGCTCCAGGAATTGCCCTAGGTCTCAATCACGCCAACACCAGCCAATGCGTACTGGGTACCCATGACACTGGGAGCTACTGGAGGTCATCAACTCCCCAAGAAAAGAAGGGGCTTATTTGCTACCCAGCAGCCTCCTTCCCTTTGGGTGAGGATATCTCCATGGATGCTGCCACCTTCTGGGATAGGACCCCCTTTGCGGCATGGTGGCCTCAAGCACACTCTCCCAGTCTGCAGGTTCAGTCCAGCCCTGGAGAATGGCAGGGAGAAGCAGGAGGATACTAGTGGCCTCAGCCCCCGCTAGACCCCCATCCTCACTTCCTACATGACCATGTGAAGTCCACAAGGAAGGGACATAAGGCAGACTCTCCTCTCCCCACCCCCTGCCTCCATATCCCAGCGGCCCACTTCGGGAACCCTCATCAAGAGCTTCAGCTAACTCTGCTGCGGGCTGGTGCTTGCTGAAGACGCCCTCCCTCCCTCCCTCTGCTTTTCTCTCTGCATATCTCTAGACAGGCCCATGCACTTGAAATACAAGGTAGCTAAGATGTCACATCCTGACACTACTGAAATATACTTTGTTGAGTCCACACAGCTTGCCTCAGTCTAGGTAACTGCTGGTAAGAAAGTCACTCCAGTTGCTTTTCTCTACTCCTGTGGTCTACAAACTTTCACCAACGTCACTATCAGACACAGAGGGACATCGGGTGGGGAGGAGGGTGAAGGCAGAAGGTCTTTGGTGGGTCAGAACTTCAAAAAGGCATTGAGAATCTGTCCACAGGTCTGCCCCTCCCAGCCAGAAGGAGGTGGCCTTCAATGCGGTCATCTTTTAGCTGCCAGAACTTTGTTAACCACCTGGAACCGTGGACATCTTCTCTCGTGTCTTGAGCCCTCATCCCCACCCCTCCAAGCCCTCATGCCCACCACACCGTGTCCTGCATGCCCCATCCTCCCCTGTCTGCTCCCCATCTCAAGTCCAATTCCAAGGCCAGAACCCTGGCAGCTTTTCTGGGAGACAGCATGAAAAGGAGGGCAGTGGAGAGGCAATGGCAGAGATGGGGTGGAGCCGGTGTGCTGTGGTCCTGTTGGCATGGTGATGTGGGGCCAATCCTGAGGTCAGAGGTTCATCACCGTGATCTGGAAGGCCACAGGCCCCCCTGGTAGAAACTGGAAGAACAAAGGGGAAAATAAACCAGAACGGGAAGAAGACGAATAAGCATCCGAGCGCACGAGAGTGGAGCCGGAGCCACGTGGAGGCAGGGCCGGCCCATCTATCTGTTGTTGAGCTGTGGAGAGCCGGTACCATTCTCCTCTTCCTCCTTGTCATCCTTCATGCCTTTCAGTCTCTGGCGGGCAAAGTCCTCAAATACAATGTCGTCATCACTAGTGGGAGAGACAAGGAAAATGTGGCGTGTTTGCAGGGGCAGGGAGAGTAGGCTTATCCAGAGGCCCGGCCAGAGGTGACTCAGAGTGTGGCTCTGGGGCCGGGGAGAGAACCACCCTGTCTGAGGTCTCTGACCTCGGCGACTGACCATAAGCAGAAAGGCCTGTCTGGCAGGCACATGTGGATGCCCCCTGTGGCAGTAAGGACAGTCACATCAGGACTCAGGCCAGTCATGAAAGGGGCAGAGAGGGGCATGAATTTGACTCTTGTGCCTAAGGGCTAGAAAAGTAACCCGGTTCTTTAGGAGGTGGGGGGAGCAGTGTGGCTCTGTAGCCCAAGGAAGGACTTAAGAAGCCAGGCCACCAGTAGTTGTTTCACAGCATGTTCTGAATCCCCCAAGAATAAGACTGGTAAACCCCACCCCACCACCCAGAAAACTGCCCTTATGAAGCATTCCCGTGTCTGGACAGGAAGGAGTAGTTTGGCTTCGTGGAAGAGAAGACCATGGAGAACCTTTCTCCCAGGAAGTGTCAGCTCCGATTCTCCCATGGGGGATCCCACACAGGAGAAGGCTGGGGTAGGAGGATGTGAATCTGAATAGGGGAGTAGAGGACCTGTTCGTGAGGAAAGGGGAGGCTTAAGTGGGGTTTCAGGACTAAGGACTGCCTTTAAGAACAGCGAGTTCCCTTCTACCATGAAACATGTCCACTTAGGACCATGCAGGGGTCCATCCAGGTCCCCTGCCCAACAGGGTTCAGCCAGTGCATGCGGCATCCTCATGGGGTGACTTGAGACTCCCACACCCCAGATTTCTCCTGGGGGACAAGGGAAGATTGGCTTTGGAGCTGCAGCAAGAAAACCAGTTGGCCCTGGAGGTGGTTCTCGCAGTCGGCCCAGGTCCTCCCCCTCTGGCCACTGTCCGGTGACTCGATGGCCTTTGACCGCAGGGAAATCCACATCGGTTGGTCCTCAGGAGTCAGAAGCAACAAGATCCCCAGTCCCCTGCCCACCCCACAGCCTGATTCCACTGGTTGGCGTGGGCAGGACAGGAGAGCCGAGCCCAGGGCCATGGACCAGCCCTGTGTGAGCTGAGCAGGCGCTGTGGATGGACGAACAGACTGACGGACGGACGTGCAAGGACGAGGGAGGAAGACAGACCCCACCAAGGCAGGAGGAAGAGGAACAGGCACGGAGGGTCCTTCAAGTCACATGCAGGCAAGCGGGTTGCTGAAGAGGCGAGCAGAGGCAGCTCTCAGCAGACGGGGTTAGACCAGCGGCTCCTCAGGGGTTAATAAGCATATATGCAAATGAACCCTCCGCCCCGCCCACCCACGGCCCACCCTGTCCCCCGATGTCTGCAGGCAGGGTTCGGCTTACTTTGTGTCAAGTTCTATGAGATTGGTATCTACTGGCGTCTGGTTCTCTGGAACTAAACACAGGGCGGGTGGGCAGAGTGTCCAGGGGTTAGTGAGTGGATGAGCAGGGGGCGAGTAGGCAGAGGCCCCCACCCTGGGACAACCAGACTAACATGAGGAGTGCAAAAGAAAAAGGGGAATGGAGAGGGGGGAGGACTCATTCCTGGTACTGAAACACCCCAAAGCATCTGAAAGGCAGGGAGGAGGGCACCAGGAGGGCCCCAATCCCCACTGCAGCCCCAGAAGAACAGAAAATCCTCTAACTTCTGTTTCTTTTGGGAGGTCTCCAACATGACTTACGTTAATTCCTAGCATGTATGACATTTACCAACTCTAAGACAATCTTTTTTTTTTTTGAGACAGAGTCTCGCTCTGTTGCCCAGGCTGGAGTGCAGTGGCGCGATCTCAGCTCACTGCAAGCTCTGCCTCTCAGGTTCACGCCATTCTCCTGCCTCAGCCTCTCGAGTAGCTGGGACTACAGGCGCCTGCCACCATGCCCGGCTAATTTTTTTGTATTTTTAGTACAGACGGGGTTTCACTGTGTTAGCCAGGATGGTCTTGATCTCCTGACCTCGTGATCCACCCGCCTCGGCCTCCCAAAGTGCTGGGATTACAGGAGTGAGCCACTGTGCCCAACCAGACAATCTTTTTTATATTTTCCTTCACATTTTAACATCTCTGAACTTGGAGTGTATCTATTACCGTCGATGGCACTGCACAGTTTAACCATGGAAGATTTTTCCTAATCGTATCTACTATAATGTTGTCTCTCTTCACTGAAAGTCTCAGATTCAGTGAAATATGACCAATCTGCTATCACTTGAAAAACATGACAGGCCGGGCGCGGTGGCTCATGCCTGTACTCCCAGCACTTTGGGAGGTTGAGGCAGGCAGATCACCTGAGGTCAGGAGTTTGAGACCCTCCTGGCCAACATGGTAAAACCCCGTCTCTACTAAAAATACAAAAATCAGCCAGGTGTGGTGGCAGCCGCCTGTAATCTCAGCTACTTGGGAGGCTGAAGCAGGAGAATCTCTTGAGCCTGGGAGGCGGAGGTTGCAGTGAGCTAAGATCCACTCCAGCCTGGGCAACAGAGTGAGACTATCTCAAAACCAAAAAAAAAAAAAAAAAAGAAGGAGAAAAACATGATAATAGTGTGTCCAGCGGTCATCTTATCCAAGCAGCCCCTTCCCCTACTTCCAAACGGGATCCAGCCCATGCCTGGGTGCAAGATAGAGGCTCAAAGCGTGATCAGTGAGTTCCCTCCTCCACTCCTGGTCTCCCTCTCCCATGGGGAACAGGAGCCACGCCTCACTGTGTCCTGGTTGGTCAGAAGCAAATTGAGTTCTGGATCCCACAAAAGATGTGGGGACCTGAGAAAAGGGTGACTGGTCTGAGGGCAAACCGGAGGGGGGGGGGTAGGTTACAGGGTCACATGGCAGCTGCTGGAGAATCCCTACCCCAGAGACCCACAGATTCTGCTCACCTTCCCGATGCAGGGGTTCCTCTTTGGGCTTGGGGTGCATTAGGGTGAAAGGCAGTTCCACAGCCACATCACTGAAAGAGACCCAGACCCAGTGAGCCTTGAGCAGACTCGCAGGCTGTGAGACTCGATGTCAACGCCCTGTCAGGGAGGACTGCGAAGGGTTTTGCCATCAGAGGAGGTAGATCCAAAAGATGTCCTCCAGCCCCAGTTCTGCCACTCAGAGCCTCGCTCTGCCTGGGAGCTGGATGAGGAGACTTCCTCTGGCTCCAAAAAGAAATGGAAGCCTCCCCTTTCCTGAGAAGGCTCCCTGGGTTCCCATGGGCTGGGAGGAGGCCCAGCGGTGGGAAAGGATTGCCCAGGGCAGCATGCACCATGGTCACTGCGGGGCTCCAGAGGTGCCCTGGGACCCTGCCCACCTCAAATCGCCACAGCCACCCTCACCTCCCCTGACACTGCCCTTCCCAACTTCCAGGTTGGAACTCCTCCCACCCTCACACCATCCCATCTCCCGACACCTCCAGGGCACTCTTGTAAAAGTGCTCAGGTGACCCTAGCACCCCTGCAATCTGGATGAAGCACTGTGGAGGTCAGTTTAGTCAGGTTTAGGATGGCCCCAGGGCCCAAGGCTGTCCACGCTGTGGGGATGCAGGAGAAAGCAGTCGGGAAGACCCAGCCACCAGCCAGTGCTTCTGATGGGGCTTTCTCTGTACTTGGCCCTGATGGACAGAATAAGAGCAAGTATTCACATGGTACTGACCCTGTGCCAAGGATTACTGTAAGCCCCTTCCATAGAGTAACTCATTTAATCCTCGCAACAACCCTATTATTATCCCCAATGTACAGACTGGGACATTGAGACATGAGGAGATTAAAATATCTTGCCCAAGGTCACACAGCTATTAATGATAAGTGATAGCAGATTCTGGCTCCACAGCCACACCCTTGATCACTGTGTGACAGTAGCAGAATTCAGACCAACAAAAGCAACCCTGAAGGCTCCTCTCGGCTTGGGGTGGCATCACCCTAGGAGACCCCCCAACTGCGAGTGCCTACAGGCACAAGCCACATCTTACTGATCTTTTTGTCCAGAGCCCAGTTGGGAAAGAGGAAGGGACAGGGAATGGAGTGGTCAGAGGCACAAGCCATGCAATTAGAAAGGTCTGTTCCACCAGCCTCACCACTCGCTGGTGCAGCACTTTCTAGCTTTGAGTCTCACTGAGCTCCACGTGGAAATGGGGATAACAACAGGTTCTAGATAGCCTGTCTTCTAGAACCACTGGAACTTCTGGGAGATGAGGCAGCTAAAGGGCTGAGTTAAACTGTGAAGCTTGACCAGGCACAGTGGCTCAAGCCTGTAATCCCAGCACTTTGGGAGGCCAAAGTGGGCGGATCCCTTGAGCTCAGGAGTTCGAGACCAGCCTGGGCAACATGGTGAGACGCTGCCCCCACCACCCATCTCTACTAAAAATACAAAAATTAGGCCGGGCACGGTGGCTCACGCCTGTAATCCCAGCACTTTGGGAGGCTGAGGCGAGTGGATCATGAAGTCAGGAATTCAAGACCAGCCTGGCCAAGATGGTGAAATACTGTCTCTAATAAAAATGCAAAAATTAGCCGGGGTTGGTGGCAGGTGCCTGTAATTCCAGCTACTTGGGAGGCTGAGGGAGAGAACTGCTTGAACCTGGGAGGCAGAGGTTGCAGTGAGCCAAGATGGCGCCACTGCACTCCAGCCTGGCCGACAGAGCGAGACTCTGTCTCAAATAGAATTAAAAAATCAAAAAAAAATGTGAAGCTTGTGCCTGCCAGAATCATTACTTCCCCTCAGTGGGAACCTGGGGGTTTTACAAGGCTGTCAGAGCTATTTGGCCTTTTTTTCTTCTCTTTTTTTTTTTTTTTCCTTTTGCTTTGGGGATTGCTTCAGAATGGAGCTAGTGGAAGACTGGGTTTGCCAACAGTTTAGTGGAAGAATCTGGATCTTAACCTTCTACTGGGCCAGGAATGATAAGGTCAGGGTCCACATCTGATTCCTCTCTGGGACTCTGGCACTCAGCACTAGCCTGGACACAAGCCCGGGGTGAGGAAATCTTTGCTGAATTATATGGAACTGAATTGAATTGAACGAATTTCACCTGTCAAATTAGTCTAAGATTTCTTAGGATGAGCCACACTGCCATCTTGTGACAGGAGGAGGCCAAACTGCTGTGTTTGGGGTACATGCATTTTTGGAATATAAGTGCATCCAGCTGGCTGCAAGGAGACCTTGTTTACAAAATAGGATCTCCTAAGGACCTCTCCTTAGCAACACTCGGCCAGCAGTTCATCCTCACTAGTGTAGAAGTTTGAAAGTCATGAAGTCTGCATTTCTCCAAAAGCTCCTATAATTCAGGTAATCAGTAATTCAAACTGCTCTCTTGGGGGCCACTCCCTGTATCAATGTAATCAGGCTTTGCTCTCTGTAAAGGTCCCTGTCACTCGGGTGGGATGGAAGAGCAAGGTAAGGTTTGTTAAAGAGAAATTGTGTCTCCCAGCTCACACCTGAACCTGGCAATCTGAAATGACCACTAAGATTCCTTCCAACCCAGTGCCCTGTGATTCTGGTCAGTCAACCCAATGGGCTCCAGGCCCTCCAGGAAGGTGGGTGAACGGTGGAAGGGAGGAATTTACCTGGATGCAAGATCTCCCAACAGGCTGGGTGGGTCAGAGGAGGCAGGAGAAGTGGTTGGGAGAGAGTTCAGAGAGGAGAGAGGAAGAAAACAAAAAGCACATTCATTCACCACTTCTGCTATCCCCCGGATAGAGAAGACCCATGGGACACACTCCCACCCACCCCCCTGCATAGCCCTGACTGCTCTTTCAGGGATACACTGAAATGGCATTAGCCCTGCCCCAAGGGACTGGGATCCAGACCCAGCTCAGCAAACCCCCTGAGCCCCAGGATCCTCATCTGTAAAGGCAGTGTAAAAATTAACCCCAGTGCTGCCTGCCCCAAGGGAGGCTGGGCTATCTAAAGGCAGAGGGAAGGACTCCGGAGTTGCCAAGAATGTTTGAGGGACTGCAGATCCTGAAAGGTCACCAGACACAGGATTTGGGATTTGTAATTTTGAGATGTTTTATTATATAAGGTCAGGATTACACACTGCCACTGCCAAGAGGCATTCTTCTAATAATCAAGGAGACCCAATGTCTAATGAGATTTAGCTTTTCAATCTTTTCATATAAATTTATGAATTAAGTTACAAAAAAGAAACGTAGTTGTTTTTTCTTCTTCTCCCCAAGCTTCCACCAAACTATGCTCCAGGGCAGGGAAGTCTGGTCCACTGCTATGACCCCAGCCCATGACCTGAGTTAGGGGAGGAGATTTCAGGCAATGTTTGGGGCACTGTTTGGGCCTCTGTTTCACCATCTGTAAAAAGGCAAAGCTGACTAGCTAGTAAATCCGCAATCCAGCTCTGGGTTCTGAGCCCTTTTAGCTGTTTCCTCGGAAAATTAGCTTGGGCATGCATGGGGGTGGGTGCCATGCCCACAGTGTGATGAGGAGATTGCACCCCTGGGCACCCCACAGCATAGACTCTGAGGACGCCGTCCCCTGGGCATGGCCAATCCTCAGTGTGAGCCCAGACCCAGGATAGAGGAGGAGAAGGAGGACAGAAAGAGATGGCCGGGGGTAAGAGAGGGGCTGAGGGCCAAGGAAGGAAGAGAGGAAAAGCGGGCAGGGGAGGAGAAAGAGGAACAGAAGGGACAGGAGGTTCCTCCTCCAAGGTGGATGCACCTAAAATGGCTGCAAACAGGCAGAATGGGGCAGGGGCCTGTGAGCATCTGCAACGCTCCCCTCTGCACACCAGGGTCTTGGGCTTGGCTAGAGCACTCACCCGCCCCGAGACACCACCAGCTTTACTTTCACTTTGTAGGAAACAATGATCCCCAGGATCTCACGGTTGGCGCCTTCCCTCAACCTGCAAAGTGACACAGGGGAGCCGGTTCAGGGGCCTTGCCAGGTGGGCGAGACACCTCAGGGGTGGGTGTGCTGGGGGGCAGTGGCCATCCATCCCCCATTTGGCTGGCCACTCAGCTACCATGTCCAGTAAAGTGCAGTGGAGGTGAGGAAGGTGAGCAGTGCCCTTAGGTAGCAGGGACCCAGAGCCCCGGTTCCAAGTCTGGCTGTGAGACTCGCTCGCTGTGTAGCCCTGTTGAGCCCCTCTCCCTGCCCAGGTCAGCATGCCCGCAGTGATGGCCGGGCTCCTTCTCCCCTCAGATGGATTCTGCTTCTCTCAGCAACCCATGGGCAGAAACGGCCACACACAGCGTTCACAGAGGGCCAGGCAGCTTGGATGGGGTGGGGGCCGTCAGAGAAGGACTTCTCCACAGAAGTGGTGCCTCAGCTGGGTCTTGAAGGTGGATAGGGTGTGAGCCAGTGTGGAGACAGGGCAAAAAGCTTCAGGTAAGTGGGAGGCTGTGCAGGGGCTGCTGAGGAGAGCTGAGAGAGTCTGTGCTGGAGTGGCAGCTGCTCTAGACTCAGGCCAAAGCCCCACTGAAGGACCACACTCGCAAGAGGGCAAGATGGCATCCCCATAGCCAGGGCTCTGCTGGAGCAGAGTAGCCTAGAGGCATCCATGATGACCGTGCAGCAGAAGTGACAAGATGCCCTGGGACCCCTGACTTGGAGGGGTACCTCATGTTGGGTCTAACCCAGCTCACCACCCTGGTCTCTCCTCAGGGACACCCCATCTGACTGAAGGCATTATGTCAGAAGCTGCCACCTCTTGCAGGAAGCCTTCCCAGGTTGCCCTCCCCCAGGCATGGTAGCAGAGCCCAGCACTGCCTGAGCGAGCTGGCCTAGTGGTCCATCTTATTCTCAGTCACCCCTGGGTAGGAATGGGAGCAAGGAGGCAGCTTCCCTGACAAGTCAAGCACCTGAGGACAGGCCCTGACAAGGCTGTGGAGAGGGTAGCCTGAGCTTTGTCTTTGAACTGGGGGGACCAAGGAGGGTGTGGCCCCATCAGGCAAGGTGCACTAGGAGCCCAGGACTAGGAGGGCAGGTCCTCACAGGGTGCTAGAGGCCAAGTTCGTGTCTTCATGCTTGAGCTTCCCGTCCAAGGCGAGGCCTCGCTTCTCTCGGTTATTGGCTAGGAAGGGGGTCAGTGTGTAGACCTTGCAGAACGTCGAGCTGGGTGCCACAGTGTCACTGGGAAGAAGGGAAGCAGCTGTGGAGATGGCCCTCCCCAGAGCCAACCCCACCCCTGATCTCCAGCCCAGCAGAATATCTAGTCTGGGCCTGCTCCAAGTCTCCCTCTCCCAACCTCTGTTCCCCAGATGCACGGACCACTTGGGCCAGCCCAGCTCAGGCAAGGAGAACCACTGCCACTCAAAAGAGGCACATCTATCTACATTCTATGCACAAACAGCACTGAATCTGGGATATTCTAAAAGATTGTCCAAGTCAAGCAGCACAGTGCTGAAAAGCATATTCATTTAAAAAATTACAGCTGGCCGGGGACGGTGGCTCACGCCTGTAATCCCAGGACTTTGGGAGGCTGAGGTGGGTGGATCACCTGAGGTCAGGAGTTTGAGACCAGCATGGCCAACATGATGAAATCCCATCTCTACTAAAAATACAAAAAATTAGCCGGGTGTGGTGGCGGGCGTCTGTAGTCCCAGCTACTTGGGAGACTGAGGCAGGAGAATGGCATGAACCCGGGAGGCGAAGCTTGCAGTGAGCCAAGACTCCATATCAAAAATAATAATAATAATAAATTACAGCCACAGCCGGCACAGTTGCTTATGCCTGTAATCCCAGCAACTTGAGAGGCTGACAGGAGGATTGCTTGAGGCCAGGAGTTTGAGACCAGCCTGGGCAACATAGCAAGACCCCATCTCTACAAAAAATTTTAAATATTAGCCCGATATGGTGGCAGACACCTATAGTCCTAGCTACTTGGGAGGCTGAGGCAGGACGATCACTTGAGCCCAGGAGTTCGAGGCTAGCTGTAGTGAGCCATGATCATACCACTGCACTCCAGCCTGAGCAACAGAGTGAAACTCTGTCTCTAAACATTTAATTTAATTTAATTTTTTTATTTTATTTAATTTTTATTTTATTTTTTGAGACAGAGTCTCGCTCTGTCGCCCACGCTACAGTACAGTGGTGTGATCCTGGCTCACTGGAACCTCCACCTCCCAGGTTCAAGCAATTCTCCTACTTCAGCCTCTCAAGTAGTTGGCATTACGGGCGCACACCACCATGCCCAACTAATTTTTGTATTTTTAGTAGAGATGGAGTTTCGCCATGTTGGCCAGGATGGTCTCAAACTCCTGACCTCAAGTGATCCGCCTTCTTCAGCCTCCCAAAGCGCTGGGATTATAGGCATAAGCACCAGCCCTGTCTCTAAACAAATTTTAAAAAGAAAAAATTATAGCTACACACAAACCATAAATGAAGCTATTTGGGCAGCCATATACCCATCATATAGGCTCAACAATTAAAACGTTACTTGCTTGATCACATCCATCATACATAGGGCGTTTTGACTGTCCAATTTTTACTTGCTTTTGCTCTATCCTCCACCCTTTCCAATGAGAGAGCTGTCATGCAGCAGATAGTGAACAAGCCTTGGAGTCGGACGAGCTGTGTTCCAACCCCAGCTTTGCTGCTTGCTAGCTTGCAAGTCACATCTCTCTGAGCCACTTCCTCCTCTACACACTGGGGCAGCAGCAACCCCAGCCCCACAGTGCTTCCTGAGAAGTAAACAAGTCTGTGAATGCAAATGCCTCCCCAGCCATCCCTGCTGGTATTCGTTATGCAGACGCTGGCACCATCTGCAGTGGTTGCGATTTTCTACTCTTTAGGGATTATACGTTACTCTGGTTCTAGATCATTTCACTTTACCATCAGGAATCTATGCCTCATAGCTCTGATTTTTTTGAAAAAATCAACAGTGGATATGAAAAATATCCAATAACCAGAGAATGCTTGATCTAATCATAGCATGTTCACCTATAGGACATTAAAAACTATTTCAAAGGCCATGTAGTAACATTTAAAAAATGTTTTAAGTTGGCCGGGCGCGGTGGCTCAAGCCTGTAATCCCAGCACTTTGGGAGGCCGAGACGGGCGGATCACGAGATCAGGAGATCGAGACCATCCTGGCTAACACGGTGAAACCCCGTCTCTACTAAAAATACGAAAAAAAAACTAGCCGGGCGAGGTGGCGGGCGCCTGTAGTCCCAGCTACTCGGGAGGCTGAGGCAGGAGAATGGCGGGAACCCGGGAGGCGGAGCTTGCAGTGAGCTGAAATCCGGCCACTGCACTCCAGCCTGGGTGACAGAGTGAGACTCCGTCTCAAAAAAAAAAAAAAAAAAGTTTTAAGTTGCAAGAAATACTGATTGGAATTATATATAAACAAATACACATATACATGTAAAATTATATCGGGTGTAATTGCTCCAAGAAATTACTTGCAGGGCCAGGGGGGGAAAAAAAATGTGTGTGTCTTTGAATGGGAGCATTTACTTCCTTTAGGCAAGTAAAGATGTTTCACTTGAGATCTCTCCTCTTGCCTCAGCTGCCAACAAGCTTGGGACAAAGTTCAGTCCATGCTCAACCATAGTAGTTCTCCTCAAACCTGGATTGTGTGTGTGTAATTATGCTCTACACTCCCCCACACAACCTCTTTCACCCAATGAGCTGGATTACCCCTTTATCAAACAAGAGCTGTGTACCTAGTGCCTTACCCACTTTGCCCTGGCTACCAGAAAGTTCAAGAACAAAGTATTTCCCTTCAACCTAGGTTTCTTGTACAACGTAATTATCTTCTCTCCACAACCCCAATCCCCTTACACTCATTAGCTCTTGTTTTGTCGTTCTAGTTTTAGTGGGTCTCTTCCTTGACTGTAGCATGCATTTTCTTGTAGATAAATCAGGTGGATGGTTTCTAAAAGGCTCTTCGGGATCATCTACTCTGAATGGCAAGGAAGTCTGAGGCCCAGCCCTCTGCCAGGTGGAGAAGAGCCACCTGGACCTGTAACGGGACACCTAGAGCTTCTCTTTTTCCCACCGAATCCCACACGCCCAAGGCCAGACTTGTGCCCACTTACTCAGCCTCTTCCATGGCAACAGGGCACTTGTACTGAGCTGTGTTGAAAAGGCAGATGTCTGCATACTGGCGCACTAAGGAGGGAGAGGAATCGAGGTGGAGTGAGTCAGGAATGCAGCTCCCATGGAGTCTCACAGGCGTCCCGGGTTGGGGATATTCAGCCCCAGGCAATGGCCAGAGGCCACCAGTGGGGACTTCTGCATGAGACCACCCCTGTCTTCCATCCAAAGGGTAGCCCCAAACACATCCCTTTCCTTCCATAACCAAAGCCTTCCCCTCAAGGACAGCTTTGCCCAGAACCCAAGAAACTGAAGAGGTGGCTTAAAGAGCAAGCTCATTACCTGGCCAATAAGCAGCCTGCCTTACCCGACTCAAAAGCTTTGCCCTGTGGCTCAGAGCAGGCCCCAGGCTTCAGTGGCTATTTTTTATACAAGGCTGTTAACAAGGGGAGATCCTTCGGCCACTCCCAGCCCTTGGGAAGACTGCCTCTTGCTGTCCCCTAAGCTGACCCTCTGCCTGGGGTACCTGAGATCTTGATCTTCTTCACCGTCTTGTTGGTGTTGTTGGTGACGTGGACGTTGACACTGATGGGTTCTCCATGGTAATAGATCTGGGGGGCATAAGAAGGGATGGGGTTGGCTGGGAGGACAGCAAGGTCCTAGGGAAAGGGGAGGGAGAAAAGCCCCCACGCGATCTTCTGGGGTTCCCCAGACCTTGGGCAGACCTTCAGAAGGGTCTGCTGCTCCCTTCTGAAGTCCATCACATCCCTCAGGTTCATGCCCCCTCTGCCACTCCTTTAGGCCCAAGAGATTTCTCTGAATCCCCCAAGGCATTGTGACATTTGCCCCAAGTTCATCAGCCACTTCCCACTGCTGCTAAGGTGGCATGAAAGCCACCAAGCACATTAGCCTTCAGTTCCCTGGTGGGACCCTTGAAAGATAATGGAATTGGAAGGTGATAGTCCTGGGCTCCAGCCCTGGCTTGGCCACCAGTAATCGTGACAACAATAACAACAATAACACTGACGATGATGAAAGCAGTGTGACCGTGGGTAGGTTAAGCCTCAGAGTCTCCCTCTGTGCAATGAAGGGGTTGGACTAGGTGATATCTGAAGTCCCTGCCAGCTCTAAATTCTGTCCATGGAAGGATCTGGAAGAAGCAGGGAAAGGTGAGGAGGGGCTGACCAGCTCACTGAGGGAGCCAGCTCTGAATCCCCACAAAAAGGCCTCAACCTGCATCTTGCCCCAAGGCACTTCCCTTCAGCCATGCCCCAAGAGAGGGGGGGTGCCCACACGTTGAGGAGGGGCTAGCCCGAGCTCACAGCAGGCATCAGTCATCTGGGTTTGATTCAGAGCTTGAGGGGAGGCCCTTCCTTCAGCAGGGCTTGTCGCCCCGATGCTCAGGGTTTGGCAGGGAGGTCACAGCCCCCCACCGTACCCCCTCTGCAATGCTGGTTGACCTTCAGCACTCGGCCTGAAGCAGGCAGCTGGTGGAGGTGTGGGGGAGATGTCCAGGACCTTCGGGAGGGTCTGCTCCTCCCTTCTGAAGTCCATCACATCCCTCAAGTTCACGCCCCCTCTGCCATGCCTTTAGGCCCAAGAGACTTCTCCAAATCCCCCAGGAGAGGTCTCAGATTCCCTGAGCCCTGTGGTCCTTGGGCTGGGGGTAGAAGCTCCTACCTGAGGCATCCCTGCAGGCCAGGAGAGAGCTGGGATCTGAGGCCCAGGTCCTAGTGGAGCAGCCCCCACCCCCTGCCCAGTTCAAGCCTCCTACCTCCTTATCCAGGGAGGCCTCTAGGTGCAAGGGCTTGTCCGACATGAGGAACTGCCTGGTGGTCTCGGCTGTGGGCTGGGGGCCAGGCCTCTCTGGGGCATATTGAACCTTCCGGATGACCAGACGCACAGAATTCCTAATGGGGATGGATGGAGTGAAAGAGGACCAGGGTCACCTGCCTTCATCCCCTCTCCTTGCAAGCCTCACATCATTCTCCTGCTCAAGAGACTGGCATGGCTCTTCAACGCCTTAGAATCCAGCCAAACTGCAGAGATCAGCATAGGGGTCTGTCACTATCTGGCTCCATTCCATCCTCCCCTGTTCTATCCCAGAAGTGCCCCGTGGCCGCACTTCATTTGGGTCCTGGTACCCAGCAGGAGGCTGAAACAGGGACTACATTTTCACCTCCTGCTTCCCTATGTCACCAAATAGGTAACAATGTCACTTCCCGCCTCCCTATGTCACCTTACACAAATAGTGTCCCTCTGTCATCTCTTTTGGTGACACAGGACACTATTTGTGTAAGCTCTTTAAGGACAGAAATTTGTGTCTAAGGTGTTCACAACTGTACTCTCAGCACCTATAACTGTGCGTGCCATATAATAAACACATGCCAGATATCTATTATGTAAAACTACGCAGAGGGGACAGGGGTCCCAAGAAGAAATGGGGTTTGGGGAGGCGTCGGGGTTCAGGGAGGAGGTGTGGATTCAGTCAGGGGGATGCAAGCCAGTGAAGGGGACAAGCCCAGGGAGGGGAGAAGGGCCATGGATGAGACTGGCTCCACGAAGGTTACAGGGGATCAGGGAGCAAATGAGGATCTGGTGAGGGAGGGAGACTCAGTGAGGCCATCTCTGAGGCATGCTGGGAATGCTGCATCTCCATTGCTCAGATAAGCTGCTTCCATTGCCTGGAATGGAGGAGCCAGGGTCAAACTCCCAGCTCTCCTCTTGCTAACTATGTGGCCTTGGGTACATTAACCTCTCTGCCTCCATTCCCTCATCTGTAAAGGGTGATGATAGAAGGACCTATCTCTTTTTTTGCTTTTTAAATTTTATTTATTTATTTATTTTGAGGTGGAGTCTCACTCTGTTGCCCGAGCTGGAGTGCAGTGGCGCGATCTCAGCTCACTACAACCTCTGCCTTCCAGGTTCAAGCAATTCTCCTGCCTCAGTCTTCCGAGCAACTGGGATTACAGGCATGTGCCACCACACCTGCCTAATTTTTGTATTTTCAGTAGAGATGGGGTTTCACCATGTTGGCCAGGCTGGTCTGGAACTCCTGGCCTCAAGTGATCTGCCCGCCTCGGCCTCCCAAAGCTCTGGGATTACAGGCGTGAGCCACCGCGCCTACCCAGGACCTAATTCTTAGAGCTGCTATGAGGATTAAATTAGTTCGTACAGCCCAGCACTGTGAATGGTGCCTGACACCTAATCAGCCCTTGATAAATGATAGCTTCTATATCATTATTATTAGTAACTCCTTGGTGTGGATTTTAAATGTCCCATTGGTGGTAGGGTGAGAGGGGTGGCTCTCAATGTCACCTCCTCTTTCTTGTGCTTGCTAAGCCTCCTCCCACATCCCACAGCACCCTTCCTTTTCCCTTGTCTCAGGTCTTAAGAGGAAAAGTGAGACAGAGAAGCAAGGGAGAAAAGTCCCATCTCCCCACACACAGGCAGGGCTGCAGATGCAAATGTATGCAATACACCCTATAGCCACCAGGTGGCAAACTCAGCCCATGCCCTAAAAAGGCTGCTGTGCCCTCAGCCAACCTCCTCTGGGAACAGTGCCTCTGGATGCAGGAACATCAGCGTTGAGGGCCCACCAGCTCTTCCAGGAGGCAGGCAGAGCACAGCCTGACCCAGGAGGGGCAGGCCTGAGACATCCGGGCCAGCTGTTTCTGGCTGCCAGCCTGGGCTCTCTGTCTGCCCAGGCTGTGCTTCTCCGGAGAATGCTTCCCCTCTCGGATGTGGGCCGAGCTCCCTGTCACTCTGCCCTGGATGGGTTCACTATCTCCACTTCCTCCTCACTTAGAAGCTGCCATTGACACACACTCAACCCCTGCTGAACTCCTCCCAAGAGGAAAACTGGAAAATGGGGATGGTCAGGAAACAGCCAGCTCACGGTTTAACACAATCTGAATTTAGGATTTTTCCAAAACAAATTAAAAAGACATGCAGTCTGGAGGGGATGAAATGAGAGGCAGGGAGATGAGGGAGGAAGCTTCCACAACGGTGCGAAGGAGAAGATGCGGCAGCCTGAACCTGGGCAGTCAAAGCCACCTCCCCCAGGAAGCCCTCCGTGACCTCCCAGCTTCCAGAGTGCCCTTCCAAGGCTGGAATGTGCGCCCCTCCTCACACACTTCCAGGTATTGTTACTTATCTCCTCTTGGACTTTGCCCATCCTGTCTCCCTCCCTCACCCAGCAGGCAGCCCACACCCTGGCATCCTACTCACCGCTTGTGGATCTTCTCCTCCAAATTCTCCGCACAGAAGGCTTTGACTTCATAGTCCACACCGCAAGCCTGTGGGGAAGGGGTCACTGACCACAGGGCCTTGGAGAAGCAGGGTCCCCAGTACACAGCCAGCCTACCTCTCATTTTACAAGCGAGGACACTGGACAGGAACACCAAGCTCCCACAGCCCAGCCCTCCTCGGTCTGGAAGAAGCAGGGGAACGCCCTTGTGCTCAGCCCCAGTGCTGTGCTGCCTCCTCCATCTGACATGGGACATCCCAAATCATCCAAACAGGGCTCTGCTCTTTGGACTCCTGCCTCAGTCTGGGTGGCCATCCTCATCTAGGCAGCTGCCCAGAAATAGCAACAGGTACCTGAGCGGACTGGGGGCACCTACTACTACTGTGTGCAGACCTGGCCCTGGGTGGCTTCTCCGGTATCCCTCTAATAAGACAAGGAGGCACGTGCTGTCATCTCCATCTTGCAGATGAGGAAGCTGGGCTCAAAGGTCTGCAGCTAGTGGTGTCACTTCTATCCAAGCCTCAGTTTCCCCATCTGTGACATGGGGATGATCACACCTTGATTCAAGGTTGCCAGGGGTTACGTGAGGCCAGGTGTAGGTCCTCAGAACACTTTGGTCCTGTTGCAACCAACGCCACTCAGGAGGGCCTCTGGATCCATCACTTAATGGGAGAGTGAGGCTGACCCCATACCTGCTGCCCTGTCTAAAGAGAGACTGGTTGTCCAAGGTGGGACCAGCTTAGCCTAACACTGTTCAACAGGGAGAGTGGTTCTGTGTGTCCAGCACCTCCCAGGGAGAAAGCCAGGGACCTGGGGACCTGAGAGTCCTGGAGCCAGAGAGATGGTCCCCTTGGGGTAACCTACCTTCCCTGTGTCTTCGGGCCCCGGCTGCAGTGTCACAGAGCATGGAAGGTTTGGAGGGATCTGTCAAGAAGACAGAACGAGCCATCTATCACATCCACCACTGTCCTGTCTCATGTCTTGCAGCCCAGACACGCCCATACACCTATCAGACCAAGGGCCCCAGGGGACAGGCCATGTCTACCCCATCAGACCATGCCAACCCATGCCCCGCAAGTGTCTGAGTTTTCTTTATCTAAAGAGTTTGGCCTAGCCCAGTTCTCACAGCAATGGTTTAAGTAGATCTTTCTATGATGTCTACTGTAGTTGGCAGAATAATGGTCCCCCAAAGATGTCCACACCCTGATCCCCCAAACCTGGGACCTTAACGACAAAAGTGACTTTGCAGATCCAATTAAGGCCTTGAGATGGGGACAGTATCCTGGATGATTTTGGTGGGCCTGATATCATTATAAGAGTCCTTAGAAGTAGAAGCAGGAGGCAGAAATGTACGAGCCAGAGTGATGGGATGTGCAAAAGACTCAACAGCCACTGCTGGCTTTGACGATGGAGGAAGGCACCAGGATCCAAGGAAAGCGAAACTGGAAAAGGTGGACGCTCCCTGAGGGCCTCCAGAGGAGCCAGCCCTGCCATGCCTCCATTGAGGCACAGTGAGACCCGTTTTGGGACTTCTGACCTCCAGAGCTGTAGGCTCATACATCTGTGTTGTTTTAATTGCTGCCAAGTTTGTGGCAATTTGTTTCAGCAGCCATAGGGAGCTAACATGTCTATGTGGAAAAGGTGACTCCATAACCCTCTCCACTCTCTAAGTCTCCCAGAAAGGGAGGGACCACACTGAATCTCAGAATCAGAGAGCCTAAGAAACTTGAGATTTTGAAATCCAGCATCTTAGTCTCTGATTTGAAAGGTGGTGGAGCAGACAGATCACCTACTTGCCATCCCTCTCTTGCGAGCTGGGTTAAACCAGGCAAGTGGGGAGCTGATCTGAGCGGGAGACACCTTGCAGTGACTCACAGGCCACAAAGGGCTCCTGCTTTCTCTGAAGCCCCTTGGCGCCCCCTTTCTCCCACCAATGACCTGGCCTCGGTCTGAGTGGCCCAAAGGTACAGGTGACAAACCCCAGCAGGGGCTAGAGAAGAGACACTTACCAGGTAACATAGGTATCAGTGCCCCAGGTCCCAGCATACACTGGGAAACTGGGTGGCAGGGAGCAGATGACCCACACCGACCCCTTATGCCCACCCCAGAGGGCTTCCTAGAGGTGGTATTTCTGGAATGGGGCTCCAGGGGTGGCAGTTCCTGACCTCAAAGGTGAAAGGGTAGGCGTGCTCGCCCAACTTCTTGATGAGGCGCTCCTGCAGCCGCGTCAGGGGCTTCTTGTCCTCGGGGGCTGGTGGGAAGGACTGCACGTTGGCCACAAACAAGTCCTTGCGAAAGGTCAGGCCCAGGACATCCAGGTCCTCCCGGCCATAGCGGAAGGCGCAGGTCAGCGTCACATAGACTGTGGGGAGCAAGGAGCACTGAGGAGGGGCCTGGGAGAGCAGCAGGTGAGCCCCCCAGAGTGCCAACAGCAGCCATGGGACAAGCCCCGCTGGAGGCCCCAGGCCTGTCCCAAGCTCTTTGGGGATGGCTGTACTGTCTCCACCAGGAGGGGCTGGTATTGAGTACCTGGAAGGATGCCATGGCCTGGCCCCTGGGAGGAGGAGGGGGCTGCCTGCTGAGCAAGCCCTGTCCTTCTTCCCCCTCCCACCTCTCTCCATGGCATGTGTGGAGGGGTATGGAAATGGTCTGACAGGCTTGGCGGGGGCTGGAGTAGTCTGGCAGGCCTGGGGTGGGGGTAGGAGGACTGAGGAAGGAGCAGGGAGTTGTAGGGGCAGGGCAAGTGCTGGGTGGTATCTGGAAGGCAAGGATCTTGTCACAGCTCAGTCGCCCATTGGTGCACATTGGTGCACATTGTCTTCCTGCACATTGGTGCACATTGATACTGCCCCGGTATCAACGTTCTGTTCTGTTAAAGAAGACCCTAATCCTGCCCTGCTGGCATCCCCAGCCTTGCCATAGTCATGACATATTGATGTGAAAGTGCTCAGGGCATAGGGAAACCTTCTCCCAAAGTAGGCTTGGGGCAGGGCCGTCCCAGGCTGGAGGAGGCAAGGGCATCTGTGGGGGTATTTGTTGAGGCTTTCAGGGGAACCAGTGGGGACGGACAGGGAGATCCTATGCTAGAGGTCCAGGGGGAAGAGGAGGCCCTTGACAGGCTGGGGATGGGGGCCACAGCCTACCTCTCCTCTCTTTGAGATACTCAGGATCCACCAGGACCACACCATCTGGGGAAAGGACAGAGAGTGAGCAGCCTCTCCCAACCTGGCCTCCCAAACCTCTGCGCCCCCAAACACCAGCCCAAGCCCAGATTCAACCATATGTCCATCTAAAATCATCCTGAGAAAAATGGAAAGGCTGGCACCTAGAGGGTGGCACTGCCGACCTCCACCATGCTCTACCTTTCCCTCATCCCAGGCAAGCCTAACAGACCCAGCTGGTGACTTTAAGCAGGTTAGTTAACACTTCTGTTTCTTCATATGTTAGTAAGAATAGTAACACAGGTCCAAAACTCCTAGAACCAGGTATACTTTGGAATTTAGAAATTGTGAAGCATAGAGAGGCAAAATGGGCCGGGCATGGGGGCTTATGCCTATAATCCCAACACTTTGGGAGGCTGAGGCGGGTGGATCACTTGAGGCCAAGAGTTCAAGACCAGCCTGGCCAATATGGTGAAACCTCATCTCTACTATAAATACAAAAATTAGCCGGGCATGGTGGTGGACACCTGTAGTCCCAGCTACTTGGGAGACTGAAGCAAGAGAATCACTTGAACCTGGGAGGCGGAGGCTGCAGTGAGCTGAGATCATGCCACTGCACTCCAGCCCGGGCAACACAGCGAGACTCTGTCTCAAAATAAAATAAAATAGGCAAAATGGTACACGTTCCATATATTCTGTAATGACCTCTGCAAGATCTGCACCCTATTACTAAAGCCATTGATACCTCCGTAGGAAAACACAAATATTCTCACCAAGAGGCTAAATATAGCCTCACATCAGTTGGGGTCAGGTTTGCCAATGAATGAATTCTGCATTAAACTTGGAAGCAATGCTAGGTTTTCAGAGCTTCTTGGGCTTGCCACATGTGAATCAGGGGTTGTGATCTGCAGTGCCTCCCTCATGGGTCTCCCGTGAGGACTGAATGGGTATACGCATGAATGTGCACATGCGTACAGCACTTAGACAGTGCCGAGCACTCGAGAGCACTCTGCAGGTTGTGGAAGGTGCCTCAGTGCCCTGGCCCTCGGGAGCAGAGTCCAGCTGAACACAAAGGACATCTCTACTCAGCACCTCAGGAGGCCAGAAACACTGGTTCAGGGTCACCCCCTTGGCTGACATCCCCTGTCTATCTCTGGCCAAACCTTTCTTTCCTCTCTCTCCCCCTACCCTCTAACCCATTGTCATTCCATTGCCAGTGGAAGAGGAGGGCCAGGATGGATCACCAATGTCCCGTTGGTGAGGACAGTGGGCTCGGACTTGTGTGCAGGTTTGGTGGGGAACCGGTAAGCATAGGGAGGGTATCATCAGATCAAGCCAAATGGCAGGGTCACTATGGGAGAAGGGTCACAGTAAGTCCCTGAGCAGCTCCGCACAGTGCCCCAGAGTGTTCGGGGATCCCAGGGCTCACAAGGGGCCTGATACAGAGGGGGTGCTCTGTGAACACCTGCTGAACAGCTCTCACGTGCCTGCGTGTGCTGGGGGCTAGATTCCTACCCCTCTCCTCTCCCAGTCTCTGGGCTGCCTCTGCTGCTGTCCTTAGTAGGCCAATGGGTACGGATAACCCTGGCCTCAGAGGGCCACCAGAAATGACAACATGAAGCAGCCACAGGTGAGCACCGGGATGCCTGCTCCCAGCCTCTGAGGGGCCAGCACAGGGAGAAGATGCCAATGGCAGAGGGACACTGAGCTTCAGAAGACACCAAACAGCATCCTAGGCAGGGTTGGAGGGGAGAAGTGGGGGTGTTTGCTCCAGGCCATGAAGGGCTCTGCTGACTGTCCCCTGGCCCCTGGCGCCCAGTGTCCCCAGGTCTTCCTCCTGGTGAGCTGAAGTCCGCAGCTGGGCTCGCTCCCTTGGCTCAGGGACCACACAAATCACTCCTGCCCTGGCCCCAGGACAGCCCGCAGGGACGCTGATGGGAGAGGCCACACTAGGCCTCACTTTGATTTACTCGTCTTTTTTTTTAAGACAGAGTCTTGCTCTGTCACCCAGGCTGGAGTGCGGTGGCATGATCTCTGCTCACTGCAACTCTGCCTCCCGGGTTCAAAGGATTCTCACGCCTCAGCCACCCCAGTAGCAGGGACTACAGTTGTGCACCACCATGCTCTGCTTTTTTTTTTTTAATTATTTTTTTATTTTTTAGTAGAGATGGGATTTCACCCTGTGGGCCAGGCTGGTCTCAAACTCCTGACCTCGGGTGATCTGCCTTCCAAAGTGCTGGGATTATAGGCATGAGCCACCATGCCCAGCTGGCTTGCTCATCTTTCAAAAATCATTGAACCTCTTTGGACCTCACTGTGCCCATTTATAAAATAGGAGTAATTCTAGGCTTCCCTCTCACAAACAGGCATGAGAAGAGACCATGAGACCAAGGCTCTTCCAATGAGAGCAGTCATTCTTAATCAGGGTGATTCTGCCCCCAGATGAGACACTTTGGCAACGAATAAAGACTTTTTTTTTTTTTTTTTTTTCCCCCGAAATGGAGTCTCACTCTGTCTCCCAGGCTGGAGTGCAGTGGCACAATCTCAGCTCCACTACAACCTTCATCTCCCGGGTTCAAGCAATTCTCCCATCCCAGCCTCCCGAGTAGCTGGGGTGGGAGAATTACAGGTGCCCACCGTCACGCCCAGCTAATTTTTGTATTTTTAGTAGAGACAGGGTTTCACCATGTTAGCCAGGATGGTCTCGAACTCCTGACATCAAGTGATCCTCCTGCCTCAGCCTCTCAAAATGCTGGGATTACAGGCATGAGCCACTGCACTCGGCCTAAAGACATTTTTAGTTGTCCTAACTGGAGCATGAGGTACTCTGGGCATTGAATGAGTAGAGGCCAGGGATGTGGCTATCCAGCCTATAACACACAGGACAGGCCACACCAACAAAGAATTATCCAGTCCAAAATGTCAAGCATGCAGAGATTGCAAAACCCTGAATTTGAATAAGAACCTGGAAGATGCCTTCGGCCACAGCCCAGGTCCTAGCAGGACCGCCATGTACGTGAGGACAGCTCCCATTTCACAAGTTCTAAGAAGGACTCTCCCTCTCTCTCCCACCCTTTGCCATCACACGGAAGCAGAACAAAGAGTTTTGCAGACTCTGCCAGGTTTGAACCGGGCTCCTCTATCTACTCGCTCTGTGACCTGGAGTAAGTCACTGAGCCACTCTGTGCCTCATTCTCCTTGTCTGTAAAGCAGGGCTAGTCATCATAGCCACCCCCACTGTCTGCTACATGACACGCCTTATAGTAAGTGGTGGTGTCTGTCGTCATCACCCTCACCCTTCTTACCGTCATCAGGACGCCTTCCCTGATTCTACCTCAGTCCTTCCCACAGTCTCTTCTTGCAGTCCTCACTTGAGTGGGAAAGTAGCTGCTCAGTAAATGCTTGCTGTCTGAAGCAGGAAGCCATCCACCCCCGTTCTTGGCACCAAGCCCCTCTGGAGAGCTGAGAGCTATTTCTGGGAGGCTTGGCCAGCCCCATGTTCCCCCAGCCCTCCTCTCGCCCTCCAGGGACTCACCCACAGGGTCCACGAGGTCGATGTGGTCCACAAAGTCCCGCTTTCCCAGGTAGACGGTGAGCTGGGGAGGAGAGGCATAGGGGGCGTTAGCAGCCGCAGGCCCGGAGGACATAGGACCCTGCCCTGGAGGAAACCCTGAGAGCAGCCTCTGAAACTCCAGACCCATCCCTAACTCTTATCAAAATCCTAACTGGACTTGGGCCTTCACCCCATCCCTAATACCAAGATTCGCAAACCCTTGTAAAATCTTAAAAGCACCTCTTCCTCCCAAAACCCTGTGAAGAAGTCATTATTGTTCCTGTTTTACAGATGAGGACACTGAGGCCTGGAGAGATCTTCATGCCAAGCACCACTGCCGGTGGAGCAGCAGCGGCAGAGAAGCCAGGTGAATGGGAGTGCGGGCATCTCAGAGGGTGAGAGCCCCCAGGCAGGCAGGAGCACGGAGCCCTCAGAGGCTCTGAACGCGGGCCGCACTGTGTTCTTCAGTTGCTCCTCCTCCCATGTAGCCAGGCAGGGATCCACTGATACGAGGACTCATTTTCTTTCTCTTAATTTTTTTTTTATCGAGATGGAATTTTGCTCTTGTTGTCCGGCCTAGAGTGCAATGGCGCGATCTCAGATCACTGCAACCTCAGTCTCCCGGGTCCAGGTGATTCTCCTGCCTCAGCCTCCTGAGTAGCTGGGATTATAGGCGTGCACCACCACGTGCGGCTAATTTTTGCATTGTTAGTAGAGACGGGGTTTCACTATGTTCGTCAGGCTGGTCTCAAACTCCTAACCTCAGGTGATCAGCCTGCCTCGGCCTCCCAAGGTGCTAGGATTACAGGCGTGAGCCACCGCGCCCAGCCTAATTGATTTTTTAAATTGACTTAAAAGTATATGTTATTTATCATGCACAACACAATGTTTTAAAATAGATATACATTGTGGAAAGGTGACCTCCAGCTAACGAACAAATGCACCGCCTCACACAGTTAGCAGTTCTGTGTGTGACGACTTGCCTTCTGAAGCACTGAGGGGTCGGGGACTCATGCCCCACTCAGTAGCCAGCCAGGAGGGAAAAACTCCGAGACAGAATTCCAGCAGCTAAACCAGATCCAGAGTGTCACCCTGATGTGTCTGTTGCTCAACAACCCTTCAATCCTCGTGACTCAATCGCCATCATTATTTCTCAGGTCCATCCCTTTCCATCCCCACAGCCACTCCTGCCTAGACTACCACACCAGCCCCTTGCTGCTCACTTGCTGAGAGCCTGCTCTCCTCTTTAGCTAGACTAGACATTCTAAAACGCAAATCTTTTTTTTTTTTTTTTTTTTGAGATGGAGTCTCACTCTGTCGCCCAGGCTGGAGTGCAGTGGTGCAATCTCAGCTCACTGCAACCTCTGCCTCCTCGGTTCAAGTGATCCTCACACCTCAGTCTCCCAAATAGGTGGAACTACAGGCATGCACCACCACGCCTGGCTAATTTTTGTATTTTTAGTAGAGACAGGGTTTCAAACTCCTGACCTCAAGTGATCCACCCACCTTGGCCTCTCAAAGTGCTGGGATTATAGGTGTGAGCCACCACGCCCAGCCCTAAAATTCAAATCTAACCATGCTACTGCCGCCTGAAACCCATTAATGGTTCCTCAGTGTCCAAAAATAAGGATGACAAATGGGTTTCATTCCAAGTGCCAACTCAGATCTACCAGCGGGGAGAGGGGGCAGGGAGCTGTCTGGGACTCTGGGCTAAGAAGAAATCTAAGATGAAACCCTGGTGCAGCAGGAAAGGGCGATGGCGACTGATGTTATCTGCTGTGGGCACAGAAGAGAGATGTGGAAGCACATGTGGTGCTATTTGCCAACCCAGGCCAGCTCGTAAGCCAAGCCACAGGGTTCCTGTGACCAGCCCTGCAGCCTCTCAGCCTCAGCCTCCCTCTTGGCACTCTGAACTCAGCTGCTTAAGATTCCCACAGTCCCTATGCTTTTGTGTCCTGCCTACAACGCTGTTTTCACCTTGCCTTGCTGGAAATGCATCCCTCCTAGAAGCTGCCACTGCCCACCAGGCTGGGTCCTGCAGCCCCGATGGCCCCATATCTCCCACCTGCCACTTCATGCTGAAATGATGGATTTCGGTGTCTGTCTCTGCCATCTGGCTGTGAGAGGCACAGGCTGTGCCTCATTCATCTCAGTAGACCCTGCCCCTGTCCCCACCGGCTCAGCCCAGACCTGGTGTGGAATGGTGTCAATGTCTACCTGCTGAACTGAGGGGGAAGCAGGATGGCGTCTGGGCCTGCAGGGAGAAAGCAAGAGAGCCAGACCCTGGGAGCTGCCCTGGCTAAGGGTCCTCTCACAGCAGGGGACTCACTCCCCCAGGGCCCTCGGCGCTTACTGATTGGCTTGTCCTCCACTGTCACACACTTACTGAAGTCTCTCTATGACAGGCCATCTCTCTCCACACCAGAGCTCAGGGAGCTGTGCTTCCCCACTCAGAAAGTTTCCTGAGTGTGTCCTTCCCCCTTCAACTGACAGCTCCAAAAGACAGAGCTGTGTCACCCCTAAGACGGGGAGCAGCACCTGCCCCCTCCCACAGAGGTGTGCACTTCAGGGGACATGCCATTTCCTCTGCTTCCCAACAGAAAATGACCAGAGTGTGAGGTCAGGGAGTTGCTGGGCACAGCTGTTACAGACTCACCTTTCCATTCGGACTGGCCTTCTTGAACACTCTGTGGAGAGAAAGACAGGTCAGGCCAGGGTTCACAAATCCTGCCCAGGAGCAAGTTCCTGTGGGACACCTTGAGGCAGGACCGGGGACCAGGGCTGGAGTGACTGACAGGCACCATGCAAGCTTGAGATCCGAATAGTGCCCATGTAATCTGCTCTTACCATCTCCACTGGTAAGCCTCCACGATAGCCATTAGAGCTCTCCTGGTCTACGCAACAGCCCCCTTGCAGTCAGGTCTTTGCAGGGCAGGCTGCGGAAGTCTCCAAGTGCAAATTTTCTAAGCTCAAGCGAGGAAAAGCCTGGCATGTTGTAAGGTCTGTGTGATCTACTCTCACCTCCTGGTGTCACCTCCTACTACTCTCCCTCACCCATCTCCAGCCACATCTGCCCCTGGCTGGTCCTCGAGCACACCAGGGCGATTCCCACCTCAGGGACAGTTCAGAGGCTCTCCCTGAGACATCTGCATGCTCAACCGCACTGTGTCCCGGGCCTGAAGTCCCTCTCTTGCTCCACTTCTTCTTTTTCCATAGCACTCATCACTTTCTGTTTTGAGACAGGGTTTCACTCTGTCACCCAGGCTGGAGTGCAGTGGTGTGATTTCTGCTCACTGCTTCAACCTCTGCCTTCCAGGCTCAAATGATCTTCCCTGCTCAGCCTCTCAAGTCACTGGGACCACAGGCACACGCCACCACCCCAGGCTAATTTTTATTTTTTGTTTTCTTGTTTTGTTTTGTTTTTTGGTAGAGATGGGATTTCACCATATTGCTTAGGCTGGTCTTGAACTTCCGGACTCAAGCAATCTGCCCACCTTGACTTCCCAAAGTGCTGAGATTACAGGTGTGAGCCACCGTGCCCAGCCAACACTTAACACTTTCGAACGTATACATATTTTACTTGTTTATTATGTGTCTGCTCTGCTAACATGTCACTCCACGAGGGCAAGGATCTTTGTTTCTCTTATCCACAGATGCATCTATCCCAAGCACCCAGAATGGCACTGCAATCATTGTTTAATAAACGATGGGTCTAGGCACAGTGGCTCATGCCTGTAATCCCAACATTTTGGGAGGCTGAGGAAGTCAGGAGTTCAAGACCAGCCTGACTAACGTGGTGAAACCCCGTCTCTATTAAAAATGCAAAAATAAGCTGACGTGGTGGCGGGCACCTGTAATCCCAGCTACTTGGGAGGCTGAGGTAGGAGAATTGCTTGAACCCAGAAGACGGAGGTTGCAGTGAGCCAAGATCGTGCCACTGCACTCCAGCCTGGGCAACAGAATAAGATTCAGTCTCAAAACAAAAACAAACAAACAAAAAATGAATGGCAGGTAGCAAACACTCAATAAACAGTTGAACAGGTGAAGGAATGAATGAGTGAAGGAATCAACCACCTTACTTAACAGAAACTGAAGCCCAGGAAAGGCAGAGAATAAGCCATGGTCACCCAGCAGTGCTAGACAAGGAATCAGGTCGAGATGTAGTCCATGACTCCCAAAAAGTGGAACTCACTTGCCTTCCATATCTCCTCCTGCCCTCTCCCACAAGCTGGGTCTTGGAGCCTGAGACCCCCTTCCCCAACAGCTAGCTCCAGGATCTCTCAAAGTAATTGTTGGGAGGGAGAGAAGAAAATTGAAAGATAGAGACAGAGACCCCGAGATAAGACAGGGGGTTGGGGAAGAGAGAGGAGGATAGGGACACAGACCCTGGACGGGTGAAAATGAAAGATGAAATAAGAGAGGCTAAAACAGCCATGGACAGGGGTAGGGTAGGCACACCTGAGGCTGAGAGGGCTTCCTGCCACCCAGTCCTCCCCCAGGAGCACAGGGCCCAGCAGGCACCAGGGTGGGCAGGACAGTGAGGCCCGCCAAGGCACAGGGACAGCCACTCCTGCCTCCTTCCGGAAGAGATGGCGAGTGGGTGGTGGCTCTGCGCTGCCTTCATAGCCCTGGCCCTGCCCACCCCCACCTCTCACTTCTGGGCTGGCAGGAACCACTGATGGGTGTGAGCATGGCTTGCTAAGAAGCCTGGCACATCCCGCCCCACCTCCCCTGGGAGACTGGGCTTTTCTCCTCCTCATAAATATGTATTTATTTATTTATTCATTCTTATTTTTTTGAGACAGAGTCTCGCTCTGTTGCCCAGGCTAGAGTGCAGTGGTGTGATCTCAGCTCACTGCAACCTCCATCCCCCTGGTTCAAGTGATTCTCGTGCCTCAGCCTCCCTTGTAGCTAGGATTACAGGCGTGCACCACCAGGCCAGGCTAATTTTTGTGTTTTTAATAGAGACGGGGTTTCACCATGTTGGTCAGGCTGGTCTCAAACTCCTGACCTCAAGTGATCCGCCCACTTCCAGCCTCCCAAAATGCTGGGATTACAGGCGTGAGTCACCACATCCAGCTTCCTTCTCATAAATATTTATTAGTGTTCAGAGTGTGAAGATGCCACAGTCAGCTGGAGTGTGATAATTGCTAAAGTGAGGAAATATACAGATCACACAATTTGAAGCAGCAGCTCCCAAGGTGGGGCTGGACCTGCAGAGAAGACCAGAGAAGTGGCACCAGCCACAAGGGACTCCACCTGCTTCCAGAAGCCCTGGGAGTCCATGGTCTGAGGGAAAGAGAGGCCACAGTGCCTGAGCCCACTAACAACTGAGTCAGGGAAAACCATTCCAGGGACTGTTGGAAGGAGCGAGACACCCTGGTCAGGCCGGAAGGGGCAACTTCACGAAGGGAGGGAGGGAAGACAGAACTTTGTTGAGTGGCTAATTATTTCTCATAATAGCTCTGTGAAATGGGGATTATCATCCTCATTTTACAGGTAATTAGCTCAAGGCTCACAGAGATGCAGTAATTTCTGCAAGAACACACAGCAAGCCAGGGGCTCAGTCAGGATTCAGACCCAATTCTGTCTGCCTGCCTCCAGAAGCTGGGTGCTTCATATCCAACCCGGCTGTTTTCCTAAACCGGGTGTTTTCAACAACACTGGGAATAACAATAAAGAGGGGAAATGAGGAGAGGAGAGGGGCAAGGGGCAGAGTGAGTGTGACCACGGTAGGAAGTGTGGCCAGCAGTGGGGAATGACCTGCTGCTAACCTCGTCAGCACCAGGACCACCTCCTTCAGGAAGCAGGACTCTGATGGCTTCCTCAAATGACAGCAGCAGCCACCACATTCCCCAAGAGCATGCCATGCTCTAGACGTGACTTTAGTTATTTTTCCTAGAATACTGCTGATCCTTACAATCTCATTTCAGAGATGAAATTGAGGCTCACCAAGGTGAAGCATGGTCTGCCTGTCTCCAGAGCCCATGTACTTTCCACTCCGTGACACTGTCAAGCCCTCTGTGATAAAACTCCTCTGACTTCCCGACCCTAACACTATCAGAAAAGAGGCCCCTGTGAGGATTTTTCGTTTCCTGGGACCTCCACCTATGCAGTGTCACACAGATGGCTCTGTCCGTCAACTTTGAAGAGCATGCACACACGTCCAAGACTGGTCAAAGCTAAATTTCCAGGATGCCAGAGGCAGGGTCTGTCTCGCCCCCAGCCCCATCTATGCCCCACAGCCTGATTCACAGAGCTGGGTGCCTATAAGAGACATACGGGCAGTGTTCCAGCTGATTAAGCCTCAGTGGAGACGAGAAACACAACCAGCCCCCACCACACCTGACCCCACCACCCAGGGTAGCTCAAGAAAAGCGGAGGGCATGTTATAAGAAGGCAAAACTCTCAAGGGATGCAGGCAGGATGCATGGTGGCTGGCGCAGGACCTGGGAAGCCATCTGAATCTCAGGCAGTCTCACTCTCTCTGCACCTCTCCTCCTGGGGCTGCATGTTCCCCCAGTTGCACTGCTTTCTGGGCGGCTGCCCCCTTGCCTCTGTGGACCAGCTGTCTCTACTTACTCAAGGCTTTTCTCCTCCTCCATCCTTTTGGCTTGGATGTGACTCCCACTCTGACACTGTTTCCACTGTGCTTCTCACTCAGCTTCCCACCGCTAACTGGTTGAATGGCCCACTTCCAAATTCCCAGGAGAGGAATTTGATTGGTCAGCATTGGTCATGTGTTCCACACCTGGGCCAATCAGCTATATCTAGGTGTGTCATATGGTCCAGGAGGCCTGGGCAGAAGAGGGTCTGTAATGTTTTCCAAACAGGGGATCACAACATACTAGTTGATAATAAAACCAACTTATGGCTGGGCATGGTGGCTCATGCCTGTAATCCCAGCACTTTGGGAGGTGGAGGTGGGAGGATCACTTGAGGTCAGGAGTTCAAGACCAGCCTGGTCAACATAGTGACACTCCGTCTCTACTAAAAATACAAAAATTGGCCAGGCATGGTGTCATGCGTCTGTAGTGCCAGCTACTCGGGAGGCTGAGGCAGAAGAATTGCTTGAACCAGGGAGGCAGAGGTTGCAGTGAGCTGAGATGGTGCCACTGCACTCCAGCCTAGGCAACAGAGCAAGACTCCGTCTCAAAAATAAATAAATAAATAAATAAATAAATAAATAAATAAATAACCAACTTAAGAGATTTTTTTTTTTAATGAAATGGAATGGAATAGAAAATATAAGCATGCACTGCAGGTAGCAAGGTATAATAGACATTATTATATTCACCAAAATTCAGTTTCCCTCTAAGCCTGGGGGTATGTGAATATCAGATTTCTGTGGTACTATGAAGTTAGGCATGTCCATGTGGCTTGCTCTGGCCAATGAAATATGAGTAGAAGTGCCAGATGTCAGCGCCAGGCAGATTTAAGTGCTGGTGCTTCATTCCCCATGCCCTCTGTATTCGTTTTCTATGGCTGCTGTAACAAGTTACCACACACTTAGTGGCCTAAACCAACACAAACAGGTCAGGTGTGGTGGCTCACGCCTGTAATCCCAGCACTTTGGGAGGCCGAGGTGGGAGGATCACTTGAGTTCAGGAGTTCAAGACCAGTGTGGGCAACATGGTGAAACTCCGTCTCTACAAAAATACAAAAATTAGCCAGGCGTAGTGGCGTG